GAAAACTTGGAAATAGGAATTATTACTAGAACCCACCCCCCCCACGTCCCCCCCCCATAGGGGGGGGGAATGAGGGTGCAGCCCCTCAGCCCCTGCTGGGCTGGAGTGGAGGCTTCTGGAACTCCTCCGCTCCAGTCTCAACCCCTCCAATTGCTCCAGCCTCTCCAGCCCCTCCAAGCTCAGCTGAGCCGCCTATTACATCGCGGTTTGGAAGTCCAACTCCAGCAGCCTCAGTTCAGCCGAAGTTCCTATCGCTCCCAAACACTAAAGCTCCAGCCCTTACACAGCAGAACCGGAGGGGCCTGAGCAAATTTCTAATCGCGAGCTGGTGGAGGGCTGGCCCTCCAGCCCTCCAGTCCCAGTTCTGCCTAAGGGCTGGATGGGAGGAGCTTTGAAAGCTTTGGGAGTGATAAGAAATTCGGCTCAGCTTGGACGCTGGGCTTAAGGGCTTTCCGTCTGGCCAGCCCCTGATTTCTTGTGTGGAATGATTTCTTACTGAGTGCGTTCGCCGTAGGCGCCACTGGGGGTGTCTACTATCAGTATTGGTATGAAGGGATTTGGTCCGCCCTGTTCTGGATTGTGTTGGTTTACCCACGGGATCCAAGCACACAAATTATACCTACATTGGGCTTTAAAGCTTGTAAATACCACGGACAAGAAGATGGAAAATGAAATGGAAATTAGGGAAGACATAGGGGGCATATAGGGGATTTTCTCGATGATTTTGGAATCCGATGTTTGCCACTGGCGCCTCATGCGTACGGCTTGAGTCTTTCCTGCTCCCAGTAACTGTTCCTAAAGGGGTTTGTATCTAGGGGTTGCTATTGGCTCCTATTATGCATTGCGGCGGAATGACCCAAGATACGCTTCTTGAGTTGCATGGGGATGATAGGGAAGCCTCTCATGAAGAGCTGGAACTTCTCTGTTTGTGGTGATCCCAGGACAGTTCAAGTAGTTTCAGGACTAGGTCGCGAAAAGCCAAGTGATAAAACAAGGTAATATGCCGTAGTCCTTCGAAATCACTGCTGCAGATGAAACTAGTGTTGCATGCTGCATGATATGCCTACATAGCCGCTAAACCCCAAATCCCTATGTAACTCCAGTTGTCATTTGATTGTTTGTCTGCCTTCCATTGATTCTCCATAATTGGGGGCCTCCTAATCCCCGAATTATCCCTATACGCCCCTAGACCCTAAATCCTAAACCGATGCCCCGTGACCCCTAAAATAGGCATCATACCTACTCCCCAACTACCCCTGGTCAGGGCCGGGAGACTGGGGCAGGTAAGAAATTCATGCTCGATTTCTGAGGCCCATGCATAATCTGGGTTAGGGAGTTTAAGGTTTAGAGGGTTCGGTGGGTGCTGATTACTGTAAGGAACCTGAAATGAGTTACCATGACAAAGAGGCCCTCTTACTTACTATGTGCCCATATTATGGTACGTTTATCTAGTGTTAGCAACAACCCATCACACCGTAACGCCGCATAGTTATTTGTTTTCCTTGCTGAGGGCGTCGCGAGAAGCCGCAGAGTATGTCCCAGTAGACGTTGTGCTGTAGTCCTTGCTCGGAGGGTCCGGGGTTTTTCGCAAGCATCTTATAAACCTACTTAGCCATATGAGCTATAGTCTAAACTCCTTTAATGGGGGGTTTATGGAAAAGAAAATGGAAACTACTACTTTCCTCTGAGGAGTCGCATCCGTCCCATGAACATGTCTGCAGCATCCGGCGGGGAGCGGCATGCGGCCGTTTACCGGGCAGGGCAGCTCGCGATAATTTCAGAGGACACGCGGTGGGTTTAGGGTTTAGGGTTTAGGGGGACACGCGGGGGGCGGGCTTCAGGTATCAGGGCTTTCTGGGTTTGGGGGGGGGGTAATTGGAGATCGCCAAACTCTAAACTAAAGCCCCAACCCCCTTAACATGAACCGGCAGGCCCACAGATTTGCTCTAGTTCAGCCATGTGTGCCCCTGCAGGGTGCAACATTCAACTACATGTCTTGCATGCAGCTCAGCTGTTAGCATATAATTCCAAATTGTAGTCCAAGGTGACTTGCTCATAACTTGGGTCATTCTCCCTTCCAGCTACTGTCCTGTGCTTTATCGAGGGGCTATTCTAACTCTTATTACCTATGCTGGTATTGCTACCGCAAGGTTGAACGACCTAGCTCATAACTTATAACTCATAACCCTGGTTCCTGAAAGAACTAAGTCTAAAATCCTAGTATCCCCCTCAAGAACCCCTAGACATTAAACCCTGTTTGTAATGCTCCTCTATATATTGGGTTGGGCCCCCACCCACCTACTAGGAATATATAAGGACCTAATATAGTTACCACTACCTCTTGTGGTCACTATTAGTGGGTGGGGGCCCAACCTAATCCATATAGCCCAACTTCTAAAGTCTAGAATCCTAGTATCTCCCTTAATAACCCCTAACCCTAAGGCCTGTCTGGTTGTCGAAATTATGGTCCCTTTTGGGGTACCCTAAATATTAGGTGCCGTATTCTAATAAGGATCCAAAAAGGGACCATGGTTTTAACAACCACCCATAGAACTCATTATAGTAGTTTCCATTTTCTTTTCCATTATCCCAATATGACCCCTATATATCCCCCTTTTACCCCTATATGGCCCCACATATCTAAATTGCCCGACTTCTAGTTGGCTGGCCCTCACTTTGTGGAGGCCCTGGCGGAGCTCGAGAAGCGAAAGCAGGCTTTCTGCAAAGCCCATGGCCTGGAGCTTGAGGAGGAGGATGAGGAGGTGGGAAACCCATAGGGTTTAGGGCTTCAGGTTAAGGGTTTAGGGTTTAGGATTTTAGGGTTTGGGGTTTAGGGTTTTAGTGTTGGGTGGTTTGAATCACAGGGTTCATAGGTTCTTAGCAGAGCACTGAGGGAATATACTGGGGTTATATGGGGATGAGGAAAAGGGAAATGGAAGCTTCTATGTTATAAACGGTGATGTATCGGGGTTAATGTAGGGAAAGCGGGAATGTAGGGGTTAAGTAGGGATTATGGATCATATTGCCTTATCCCCAAGCTAAGAACCAGTAAGAGGATGTCGCAGGGTTTAGTTTGAATGCTTCAAGTTAAACATTCTGCGGTGCGGGAGTTTAATGTCAGCTGGGGTCGTAAATTTCTGAATGGAAGCTGTCATTATGGCGCATCGTCAGGCTGACAGTGAGTTCTTGAACAGCTGCTGCATCCTGTTGCATTGGGGGCTGTGATCGCAATGTTCTTGCATTGCTGCTGATTTTTGAAAACTGTAGTTCCGAGGTATTCCCCTTCATAATCTCAAGTCGGAAGACTCTCAACCCTGAAGCCTAGATCCCAAACCCTGATTCATTGCACAGATGCTGCGAGGAAGTGCCAGAGCCCCGTAGGGACCAGAAGGGTTGTAAGTTTAGGCTTGGTCCCTGGTAGTAAGGTTTAGGGGTTAGGGTTTCAGGTTTAGGGTTTAGTTAGGGTTTTAGGGCTTAGGGTCTGAGAGCTTGGTCTAGGCAGTCGGTGGCCCATTCCGGGCGGACTCAGAAAGCTTGTTGCAAAAGGGCTTAGGGTTTAGGGGCTTAGGGTTTAGGGTTCATTATTATGGGGTTAGTCCTCAGATCCTCCTCAGATGTGTAATGCTAATAACATATAATTCAGGGTTTAGGGTTTCAGGGTTTAGGGTTATACCGCCATAGCCACCCAATCTTCAGAAGCTCTCATGTCTTACTGGTTGTGAGTAGAGAATGTAGGAATGGACTCCCCTAGCGCGCCCTTATGTACTCCCCCAATTATATGAGCTATTGTCAATATTAGCCTGATTAAAGGGCCCTTAACAGTTGACATAGGGGCCCCTCGTCTGGTTTAGTATGGTCCCTAATGTAATGCCTAGTAGGTACCCGTGTCCGTTAAATTAAGTAGGAAATATTGACTGTAGCTCATATGGAAATGCTAACAGCCAGCCAGATTTGTTGATGCCATGCTTTCCTCTTGATGAGGAGGAACAAGAGGAGGCAGACGAGGCGGAGGAAGAGGAAGAGGAGTACAACTGTACCGTTTAGGGTTTAGGATTGAAGGCCCCCAGCAGTTCGGAGAGAGTCCTGGGTTGAAAAAAGGATTGAAGTTGAGGGTTCGTAGGTAGGGTTGAGGGTTGAGGGTTTTTAGCTATCAGCACCGGTTAGCTTGCGCCACATGGAAGATTTTGGACCCTGATCTGACAAGCCTAGCAGTCAGCGTTGGCTACTGGCACCCGAACCCTCAAAATGTGGAAATCATTACTAGTAGTACTATTACTATTTTTAGTAATTTTATGATTATTATTGCTATTAGTAGTATTGTTTCTATTATTATTGGTAGTGGTATTGTTACTGACCCCAAACCTGACTACCTGAAGGAAGCCCTGCATGACACTGGACACCTTAAGTGTGGGAATCGGGCGCGCATTTCATGTACCATATGCGCTATAGTCTAAACTCCTAGTATATCCTTCTTAATAGCCCCTATGGTAGTCCCCTATATTCTCCCCTATATAGCCCCTTTTATGGCGTTTAGACAACGGCTCATATGCCTTAGGCCTTGCTACTGTATTGAGTCGCATGTGGATGAGTGGGTTAGAATATAAGCATCTGCATACGAAAGAAAACTTGCCGCCTCCTTGATGCGACGCTACTTGGAAGGGTTTAGGGTTCAGGGTTTAGGCTTTGGGGTAGGAATTAGGGAGGTCAGGAGGACTTAGTAAGTAGTTGTGGGTACTATATGGCTTATAGGAGCTAGAAGTTCAAAAGTAATTGTGGGTACTATATACGGCTTAGAGGGGTTATGAGTATACTTACTGAGTCCCCCTGACCCGCCCTCCAAGCATCGTCACTGTTGTTGTTATGCTCGATCCTCTGCCATGAACAGCCGGGAGTCCAATCGAAACTCTTCGGCATGCCTATTTTGTCAAAAGGTGCTTTCATGGGCAGCATGATGCAGCATGTCTTATGACGTAGTAGGAGGACTGTAGTACTACGAAGTTTGAACCCAAGCCCTGTAATTATTATCCCCAAGTCTTTCTGCAGCCGCTGTAGAATAAAATGATCACCCCGAATATGAAAAACTCCCATTGAGGTCTATTATCCCATATTGAGCCCTAAATCCCAAACCCCAGACCCTAAACCTTAATCATTACCCCTATATACCCATTAGCGGGAGGGGATTATAGAAGCCTCTAACATCTTCTCCTGAGTCCTAGCCTTACCTGGACCTCAAAAGCAGAACTACATCCTGATCTCCACAACTGTTAGGGTTTAGGGTTTAGGGTTGAGGGTTTAGGGTTCAACATTTAAAGTCCAAGCACTCTCTTGTTAAGCAGCGTTATCTAATTATAGAAAAATACCCACCTGTCCATTGGGTCCCGCATCATTAAAGACATTTCTAAACCTTACATCCTAACCCTCAAGCCCTTAATTCCGAATCCTAATTTGAACCCTAACTAAAGCCCGCACACGAAAGCTCGAACCCTCGAGCCAAAAACCCTACAGCCCAGTCGCCGAACGAACCCTAGAGCCAGAACCCCAGAGCCAGAACCCCCGTAGAGCCCGAACCCTGGAGCCAGAACCCTCGAGCCAGAACCCTAAGACCCAGAACCCTAAGACCCAGAACCCTAAGAGCCAGAACCCTAAGAGCCAGAACCCTAGAGCCCGAACCTTGCCCGCGAAATCTTGGCCCTGGACGCCTGAAAAACAGCATAACCCGCGAAGTCATTAAAGTTTAGAGATCCCCTGGGAAGCCAGAAAACGGCATTGCCCGCGAAACCATTGAGGTTTAGATTCTCATATGAAGGAGAGGTTTAGGGTTGAGGGTTCAGGGTTTAGGGAGTTACCCCAGTATTATAGTACCCTCTTTCCTTGTTTAGTGTGGGGTCTCCTTTTCGTGCTGAATATCAGGAAAAGGGTGCCCTCATTATTAAGAGGTTACTGGGTAAAAGCCCACAAACCCGTAAACATAGTCAACAAGGTCAACATTCAGCCTACTTCTGGGGGTCCCCTGAGCCGTATACATTCCTGCATACCCCTAGATCATTTTATAAGGCCATTGCTCTACATACTAAGCCTAAGCCCCCCTAACCCTAAACCTGGACCCCTGCAACAGCGCTAAGTGTCCAAGCACTTAATAACATTATACCTACCTAAAACCTGTACTACAATTACTATTATCGAAATTCCAAGTACATAGTTCCTAGGTGGTTGGACCCCTGCAACAGTCAGCTAAACCCTAAATCCTAAACCCCTGAAGCGTAAATTGGGACCCCTGAAACAGTCAGGAGTTCCTCGAACGGTTATTTCAGCACACGAAGCGCCGCCGACTCTAACCTCGCTCTGCCAGAAAAAGCACAGGGCTTTTGTGTTTAGGGTCTGGGGGTTTGGGGGGTTTGGGTTTTTAGGGGTGAGGGTTTTAGGGTTTGGGGTTTTAGGGTTGGGGCCTTAGGGGTCTAGAGTTTAGGAGTTTCGGGCTTCCGGTTCAGGGGTGTAGAGTTTATGGTCTGGGGGTTTGGGGTTTTCGGGTTAGGGGCTTAGGGCTTTAGGGGCTTCGGGTTTAGGCGTTTAGGTTTCAGGGGTGCGAGATTTAGGGGTCGGGCGTCTAGGGCTCCGGCTTAGGGGTTTAGAGTTGAGGGTGCCCCTTGGGTTAAGTTAAGTTAACATGCAACCTGAAAAGGCATCCCTTGCAGACTACTATCCTTTAAAAGGGGTTTAGGGTTTGGGAGGTTGTGTTGGGTTCCATGTTTAATTTGGGGAGGGGAGGGGCTCAGGGCTTAGGACGCTTAGGAACTTCAGGGGCTTGGATGTGTGGATTTCTGATGGAGCTGAGCTTACGGATTGGCGGCTGGGGTTGGCTTCCCTACAAGTACTTGGGGGGGTCAGGGGGACTTAGTAAGTATACCTATAGCCCCTATATCGCATATAGTAACCCCGTTATCCCCCTTACTAACCCACTTACTAAGTCCCCCTGACCCTCCAAGTAACGTGTTCGAATATTACCCGTGAAAAGCTATCTCTCCAAGCTTTCTCTATTGATGAGGGTTGTTTTGAAGATGGCCAGGGCGAATTAAGGTTAATGAATGGGAAACCCCGGGAAGGGCAGTATAGGGGGGGCTACACATACCCAAAGGGTCCATGGTATATACTTTGGCCCCCTTGAGCTTCCATACATCTACTTGTGGGGCTCACGTATATACTGTAGCTACATGAGCTATAGTCTAAATTCCTAAAGGGTGGTATATATAGGGAATTATTCTAGGGGTTATTAAGTGGGATGCTAGGACTGGGGTTGTAGCCTTCTATCCTTCACCCTCGCCCGTCCCTGTGATGCTGCATGTTTCTTTGGGGTAGGGTTTGGGCATGGGATGGGTTGGAAACCGCGCGGACACCAAGCTTTCCTCCAGATTCTTACATGTGCTGAGCAATTAAAGCGACCTCAGCCGACCTCACCCTAAATCGTGGCTAGGGAAGAGTACGAAAATGGCGCTAAATTGGGAACTGAAATTATCCTGAATTACCCTGCATGTAGGGATGTCTAGAAACTAGGGGCCCTTAGCACGGGCATTTTGCCAGGGGCTAAAGAAAAAGACCCATCAGTCTGACCAGCCGGCGCGTAGAGTAGGAGTCATCTCTGTGCCGCTCTTCTGAGTTGTTGGTTGGCCAAGCCCATGTCATTTGAAGAACGTGCGCCCATGTCGATGCATAGAAGTCGCCAGTGAGAGTGGGTGCGCAGTGTTTTCTTCCAATATTCTGGGTAGGCCCTGGGATATTTAATACTTTCCCTAATGGCTTTAATAGGGGACCCTGGATATTAATTTGTTTCAAAGGGTTTCAGGGGCCAACCCAGTATTGTCCTGTTGGCGGTTACAGGTCAAAGGGCTTGACTTCGGGTTTGCTGACTGGGCGAGCTATAGCGACCTCACCTGACCTCACACCAAATGGTGCAGGGTTTTGGGTATAGTGTCTAGTGTTATGCAAACGATCCCAAACCGTTCTGAAGTTGTTACAACATGGTCAGGTCAAGCTTTCCTGCAAAGAAGATTTTTTTGCGCAGGTGTTGTGGCCAAGCTTTAATTTGCATTGCCTGGACCTCGAAGTAGTGGCCCAAAATCTCCCCAAATGGGCCAGAAGTCAATTGTTCAAAACACTTTCGGGGTTCAGGCACACTTTCCCACTCCCCTGGTAATACTCTGTACACTTTTGGGCCACTTTTGGGTTCAGCTAACAGCAGCCTCAATCTGCGCAGCACAACCACACAGTTTAGAGATTAATCAGGTCTTGGCTTAGGGTTTAGGGACTTTTGCTAAAAACTTCTCCTCCACTTTGAAAGTAAAGGGAGTTCGTGGGGTTTGTTGTACGGATTCTGGGAATCGTTGTCAAGATGAAAAGGGATATTGTAACTCCCACTCCACTACCAATCACCGATCTTGCTTTTCTGCCACAATTCTGCTTTCCAAATCAAAATTCTGCAGCAATCGCATCATGAGTGGTTTATGCGCGTGGCCAAGGTATGCGGTGGAGTATGCCCTTTGGTGCTTCGTGAAGAGGCTCAAAGTTCTTCGAGACGGAATGCTCGTGCCCCTTGCTTCTACTTAATCTCTGCCCCTGAAGGAATTACTCCCCCACACTCCCTAATATTCAATTTTCCCTATGACTAATATTAAATCTTCCCAATCTTCTGTATGGTCTTATGGCCTGTTCCGGTATCACAGTTTTCTCTTGTTATCAGAGGTAAAAGGGTTGAAATGCTCCCTGAACACGTTCAGCAGTGCAGAGGGAGGGAGAAGGTGTTGAATATTAGAGGAGGTGATTCAAACCACAATCAGGATCTGGTCACCAGGGGATGCAGCGCTCCGCTGCTCCGAATCTTACTGGGGCTTAATAGGGGCATAAGGCAGTACATTATAAAGGGACTACATAGGGCTCATACTCCCTGATTCCCTACCAAGCACCTGTAAGTAAAAAAATCGTAAGCAGCAAAACAGAGTTCATCGAATGATCCCTTCTTTTGCCTTTGGGCTCCTACAAAATACCCCTACTTCGAGCAATCCCATCCCAAGTTCGTTCCTACTTGACAGTCACATAAAACAGGCCCGGCAAGCAGAATAATTTGGACCTATGTCAGGTCAGCAACACATTTAGAAGGCTGAAAGGTATCTTGAACAAAGGCAATAGGTCGAGCAATGCTGATGAAGAGGACTTCTTGTTATAGTTCGAGTATTCTTGCAGCAGTATTTGTTTGTCGGTTGATCGCCATTCTTCTTTTCTTCGCAGCGGAGAACTCGCCCCAGGTCTACTCCTTGTGATATGCCAGCCAGATACGCCCAGCCAAAATAAGGAGGGTGCAAGAATCGCGCAACATGATAGTGCAGGCGGTTAAGGATCTCGTGAGGTCGTGCCTTCCCAGTCATGTCAGAAAATAGTCCCTCAATTAAGTAGAAAGAATATGGGATGCCCAATATCATAATAAGATCCCTATACACCGCATATTCTATCTACTTCAGGGGGATTATAATATGAGACATAATCTGAACTCCATAAAGGGGGGATATATAAGGGATGCTAAAGGGTACTTCTATACGAGTTATTAAGGGGGGGGCGCCGGGGTACTAGGATTTTATACAGACTATAGCTCATATACCTCCCTAAACCCTAAAGCCTAACTGGCATGGCTGTGAGATGTCTTCTTTTTGAACCTTTCTTTTCTTACTGCAGCCTGCCCTCTCAACTCAGGGCTCTGCTCCAAGGTAGGTTTTTGTTGTAATGGTTTAGGGTTTAAGGGTTTAGGATTTTAGGGTTTGGGGGTTTAGGGTTTAGGGGCTTAGGGTTTAAGGTAATAAGGGTGCTTTAACTTACTTGGGGTGAGGAGGGAATCAGGGAATATGTTATATAGGGAGTATATTGGGATTATGTTCCCTTATTCCCTACTATCCACATGAAAGCTATAGTTGCCGGGCCTTAGTATTGTCGAACATGTATTCATTAGGGTCCTTAGTCTAGGGTTTGGGGTTTGAATCAGTTCAGCTTGGGTTGGGGGTTTGCTGTGAGCACTGGAATCCCCATCAGCCAGCCTATCAGAGCTGAAGGATCGATCTCTTCATCATTGTCTGCGGACTTGCCCCTCGCTCAGTGAGACATCCAAGCTGAAGTTGAAAGCTAGCAGCCCATCAGTATGTGGGGAGTTCCCAAAAGTTAGGAGCCTGTTTTAAATTTGGTACCCCTAAGTATTAGGTGCCGCATTGTAATCTTTAACCGAAAGGGCCCATGATTTTAAGAACCACCCATGTGTTCTGGTGTAGGGTCAAGGCCACCTCATCCCCATATTCGGGAATGTACGGGCTTCGTGGTTGGGAGAAAATTCAGCTGGGCAGCTCTAATGTTGCGCGTGTCGCAAAGCGATTTGCATTTACCATCATTTACCTGGATGTCATAAGTCGGTAAATCGTGGCCCAAAGCCCACAGGACAACCCCAAAGTAACATTATTCTACATACCTTTGAGATTCCCTAAGTAGTATTTCCATTCTTTTCTACTACTTGTTCTAAATACTTAGGGGGTTCAGGTAAGGGTGCTTGCATCCTAGTTGTTGAATTACGTGGGTGAACCTTGAGCTTGTGGGAGCCGGATTCGCTTCCTCTTTTCAGTCTGTGAAGTTCAGCGTTTAGGGCTTAGGGCTCAAGGTTCAGCATGGTTGCTTTCCAGGTCCTGTTAGCTACACCAGATGCATGTCACAGAGTGTAGCGAATTTTGCCTTAAGCCCCTAAACCCTAAACCCTAAACCCCTTCAACGCAACGAAGCCCGCCGCGAGCCCAGCAGCGAAGGCAGAACTCGTCATGTCTGAGGCCGGAGGCAATGTTTTCGTCCCGCAGCTGCAGTTTCGGGTTGGTTCTGGGAGTTTGGGGGGTTGAGGATTTTAGGGTTTGGGGGGTTAAGGGTTTCAGGGTTTTGGGTTTGGGGGTTTAGGGTTTTGGGTTTTGGGATTTAGATTTGGAGGTTGTGGGCGTAGGGTGCAGGGTTTGGGGCTGGGGGTTCAGGATTTTGTGTCTAGGGTAAAGCGTTCAGGGAGTTTGGGGTTGACTACACCGGAAGTTTGCAGACATTTTTTGGGTCACTGTTGGGGTGGGGTCCTTATAGTGGGCACTGTCTCCCGGTTCAGGCTCTAAGGTGGGCTCTCGCTTGGAGCACGAGGCTTATTTGCAGTTAGAAGTGCAGTCGGAACCTAGCAGTAACCAAGTCCAGGGTAGTTAGGGAAACACCATTATCATTATCCCGAAGCTTCAAGTATGACTATGCAAGATGGGTGTCTCTTTGCGTCCTTCACGAGGTCTATGAG